ATTGTCAGATGGTAGGTGGATCAGGAAGGCAGGTGGTTTCTAATTTTCCTCAGCCTTTGGATCCTCAGCTTGGGGTTTAACCTTGGTCAGGTTCAGTATTTTCTCTGCCTGGGTCCCTCTTTCCGGTGGCTCCGTTTGAAGGTTCGAGGAAGGGCAGCTGTGCACCTGTTCATGGACCTTTGCACCCCGTTGACTCTGTTAAACAGGACAAAAGCAAGACCGAGTGTTAGGGTGTACCCGATTGCTGTGGCAAGGCAAAGTGCCGTGTCGGCAGAGGTCCAGGATCGGGCAAAGGGAAAGGTGGTCTGGACAGGCAACCGAGACAGTGCTTGGAGGGCTGTGTCGATTGGTGTGATGCCAATCATCTGGGACCCCCCTTCCTCAATGCTCAGTTCCAAATCAGGTTCCAGGGTGAGACTGTGATCCTCGAAGGAGGCTGGAATTTCCACCTCGGATTGATACTCTTCACTTGGAAGGTGGTACAGCGCCAGGTCTCCGAGGTGGAGGATGGCGCCTTTGGGCACTTGAATCCACATACTCTGGTTGGGCAGGCTGACACGGGTGGCCGTGTCATGCTGGTCATAGGTCAGTGTGGCGATACCGATGGGTGTGTTGACGAGCCACTGATTTCCCACAATCTCTGCTTGCGTTTCTGTGACTTGTGCGCGAGGCTTGGCCTCAGCAGGGCAGAGTGTCTCTCTTTGCATGGGTTGTAACCTGCAGATTCTTTCAGTGTTGTCTCGAAGGAAGGGCTTGCTGGGGCAGAGATAATGAATGTCTTTAGTCAGGGTACACATGCGCAGGTTTGGGGCCAGGTATAACTGTGGGTTACTGTCATGATAGGCTACCATATCTGGGGTGTGGATCCTGATGTGAGTGTTTCCTTGCCAAAATCCAACATTGAAAATGTCTTTGAGTCTGTAAATTTTGTCAGATTCAATGATGGGTAGATTCAGAAGAAACGTCATCTCACTCTGCTCGGGGTCGACATGTAGCAGGATGGATCCTCCCAAGGAGTAGGCAAGGTGGGCTTGGAGAGAGTCAGGTGGATGGGTAGTAGCAGAGGACAACACAGTTTGTACTAGGCTCAGGGGCACCAGATATGGGGGAATTCTACCCATGGCTAGGCTGTCGATGGAGGAGCTCACCTCACAGAGCATGTCAGACATCAGTGTGGTGACCAGCTTAGTTTGGGCAACATCATTCTGTATAACAGAGAATAACGGTTCCACAGAGTTTGGTTCAGCAGGACACTGTGAGTGTTCAGAACCTCAAAGGTGCCCTTTAATGATTTGCCTATAGTCTGTAGGGTTTGGCCCTGTAGTATGAGTTGTTCTCTCAGCTGGGGCATCTCAGTCTGGATCTCCCTTACATGTTGCCTCAGGGTAGATGGGCTCACGGAGTTGATGCTGGTCACTCCCAGGTTGAACAGGGTTCCAACAGCAGCAGCAGCTCCAAGCAAGGCCCCCAGGAATCATTTGTTATGCTTATGTCCGTTTAGCTCTGCTTGGGTGACAAGTCATTTTCTGCAACTGAGTGAGCATGTGTTTGATATCGACTTCTGTGTGAGCGAGAGTATTCTCAGTCCATCGGGCACCTCTCCAACTGTAGTGTTGCCTGACACATAATCCCATGCCTTGGGATTATGTGTCTTGTAGACATTTTGGGGGTCAAGTCAGACATATAATTTCTGTGTAAGTCCTGCAGTTGGTGATAAGGAGTCCAGGCTGTTCCCTCAGTACAATGCCTGATGCTAGACCCGGTGATGTGATATCAGGTTGCGGTTGTCCTCTGGTTAGCTAGAGGCAGAGGATGGAGAGACACAGCAGCATCCTGGTTCAGAGGAGGAGGAGAAAGGCAGTGGATCAGTGAGGGAAGTTCTTGTTTGTTCAAGACAGTCTTTGTTTGAGGACTATAGCAAGGCCTAGTTAGCACTAGCCCCCCACCCCCTGTCTTTCCCTGCCAGCAGCCACATGTCTCTTGATCTGGTTACGATGGACCCATTTGAAAACTGGTTCTTTCTGTCCCCGGCTCAGCTTGATCCGGTATGCGACAGGGGAGAGTTTGTCTTCAATCTCATGCGGTCCTGTCCAGTGTGGCAGAAACTTCTTTGATAGCCGATGAGAGGTTGTCTGAGGAGGCTGGGTGTAGCTGTAGTACCAGACCCTGTCGCCCACATCCAGTTCTATGTGTGACTGCTGCATGATCTCAGCTGTGAAATGGGTGGCTCTGTCTTGAGTTGACTCTCAGCGGCAGCCCGAACCTGGAGAAGATGGGATTCATCAGGAAGGATGCTGTAGCCAGCTTATCCAATTCTTTAGGTGACACGCCGTGACTGGAAGACAGTCTTTGGAAAGGCTCCCACCCCCTTGCTGCTGCTGGGGGGTTCTGGGATGCAGGCAGGTGGTGTCCTGAGCAGTGGGCTCTCATCCCCCTTTTCGAACTGGGAATTCTTGACTAGGAGGTATCAGCCTGCTGGTTAGGGGAAATTCTGGGGTGTGCATTTCCCTTTCAGAGTCACTTTGGAGTCTGTGCGCATGTTTAAGCTCTTGGTGAAGAGTGTCAAGTTCTTTTTTTAAATGGTCTCTTTGTTGGGCCAGGGCACTGATTTCAGCCCGAGAACTTTGCAGGTGGCCTTTGCAGGCCTTGGCCCTAGCATCTCTCTCATTGAGATCAGTCTCTGCTCTCATCAGGAGAGCCTCTGCTTGCAGGAGTTTTTCACTCATTGCCTCTCTGGTGTCCTTTTCCCACTGCTCTCGGCGTGCTGTGTCTACATGGAGATCAGTTAAGGCTTTCTGGAGTCTCTCTACTTCCTCTTGCAACTCAGGGTCCTGTTCTTCCGCCGTCCTGTGCTGGTGCTGAGTCTCCGACGTTAGCTGGTCCAGTTGACATTGAGCAAGCACCAAGTTTCTCTGAGCCTCCTCAGCCTGGAGCTTCAGCGCTGCTGCTTCCTGTTCCATGCGGGAGATGCTTGCTTCACCCAGTTTTGCCTGAGCAAGGAGGTTGTGGGCTAGTGACCCGATGATCTTGGAGAGATCTTTGTGGCTGTAGTCCTGTGTAGGAGCGTGTGACATTAGGTTGCTCAGGTTCACCGAGCAGACAATATAATAATTTATCAACTCGAGGAAAGATTATTTTCTTGGCCAAGAAAAAATGACTTTCCTTCATACAGTACTAGCATTAACTTAGCATGTAGCAAGGGATCAACCTTCAGTGACTCCGAATTGTGAGCAGCACACAGAGACAATCAATTGTGAATATAAGGGATTTAATAAATGAAACTACAACTAACATACAACAAGACTAAGCAAAACACATATATACAGAATGAAGAAAAGGAAGAGAGAGAGAGAAGAGCAAAAGAATGGCAGTATTTCACATCAATTAACCACAACACCTAATGAGAATCATCAAAGAATCAAATATCACCTTAAAAGGGGCTCAAACTTAAACACGCATCTAAATAGTTGTGAATGGTTACTTGGATTGGTGCAGTTTTACCCAAAATATGCTACAAATAGTATGATGCATTTCACGATCACAGTGTAGATCATTGTTTGAGGAATAAAGAGCAAATCATTTTGATACCAAGAACGAAACATCTAGAAGATCTTAAAGCAGAGATACACTCATATACTTGAATATAAGCATTGAGAGTCTAACTAATACAAATAAAGAGTTGTAACTAGGCTAATACAATAGGGAAACATACAAATAACACATGCATATACCAGATACAATTGTAACAGATTAATTATAGTCTAAATAAAGAAATGTCTTTATGTGTGTGTGGGTGTGTGTTATAGGCCCATTGGTGCCTGGCCCCAGGGGTAATTTATGTCTCTTTGGAATGTGTTTGAAGTTCAATGGGGAGACGAGAGTGGTGAAACTGTTTAGCATCTCCTTGATAGTGGGGGGAACCATTGGCAATTTAGCACCCATATAAATGTCGAATCTGGGGCCAGGGCTGTAATTTATATGCAAATGTCAAAAGGCTGAAAGGGTCTGAGACAAAGCCCCCATGATCATCCATCCATTTTTTTTTCATGCATGACTGGGTGTTAACCATATTTTCTACAGATTAAGAGAGGAAATACTGCAGTATATTGACTGAATGCCCTATGATGAGTGAATATTGTCAAAAAAATACCACACTAAATAGTGCCTAAACACAACCCCTTTTAATACATGTTAACCAGGAGTCACTCTCATTTATAATTGCGGCATCATCTGATAAAATCAACATGCATCTACAATAAAGATATACTGCGGCTATGCGGTTGTTTTGGCTATATTACTTTTTTGTCTCATGCAGCACACTGCCTGCTTCTGAGTAACAAACTAAAAAAAACAACAACAAAGTGCATGTGATATTAACAGCCGAACTACGCTCATATTTATAATTCCAAACAATCAGTAACCAACAGGTGCTAGGAAATGCTGCTTTGAACTAATTTATTGACGAGTCGGCTGCGGTGCAGCCAACTGAATGCGCTGCTTCTCTGCCGCTCACTGCACAGAACAGACATTGAGAGAGGTGACACTTCTCCGGGAAAGTCAGACCTCACGTTCGCGGGACAGCACTGGCAAAATCTATGGGAAAAAAGCAGCTAAAAGGGTCTGAAAGTTGCTAAATCTAGTGCTAAAGTCACGCTCATGTGTGTGAGACGCGGGAGCTGATGGCAGGGGGCGGTGGATATTTGTGGCGGTCAATGTGGATATTGTGGATGAGTTCTTCTGTGTCATCACGTTCAGCTTCAGTTTCGGAACTTTCACGCTTAGTAACACATACAGCTGTTCCCTTACCATAGTGCAACAGTGAAAAGGGACCCCTTTCAAACAGTGTCGCGTTCCGAACATTGTTTAAGCGACATACCGGTATTGCGGTATTTTAAAAATTTATATCATAACAAAAATAAACACCGGTATTCGGTATGAACCGGTATACCGCGCAGCACTAAGTGTAAATATAATTATTAACTGCAGGTGAGCAGTTGTACCTGCTGTTGGGAGTTGTAGTCAAATAGGCCGACTGGAGTACCAGATGAGTCCACCTGGATCTGGTTCCCAGCATAGTCAAATTGGAGCGACTCCATGCCTGCCTGATGCTCCATGCCGCTCATGCTCTGGGCTTCCTGGTTCTGGAAGTCCTCGGTGGGAGGTTTGTTTGTGACAGGGTTGGGTGGCTGCAGAGTATGTGGGAGGTGCTGTGCCATCATTTCCAACCCGGCCTGACTGGGGCCCAACCGTTCTACTGCCTCTGTGGGGGACGCCTGGCGACTGCCTGGGGTAGGGCTGTAGAAAATAAGTTTTTAAATCAAAGCATGGATACTTCACTATCATAAAACAAAAAGAAAGCAGTGACATTCTTACAGTTTCACTAATTGCTATTCTATTAAAGGCCAAAAAAGTTTTAGCTTTAGCTTAGTTTTAGGTTTTTACTTTAGCTGGATCCATACAGGTCTAGTGTCAGCCAACAAAAAAAGCCTATAAAGGTTCAGGGCATACATTTATTAGATACTTAATAGCAAGTAAGGTAACTGGTTTGTTGTTTTAAATGTCTGTCAAAATTGCTCTTCAATTTAAATTTTAAACCATTCTAAACCAATAACTTTTTTCTCTCCCAATTTTAACAACCCTTTGCGCACACATTGGCAATAGAATTGCCACTGGCTAGTGTGTGTGTGTCTACATGTATGTATGTATGTATGTATGTGTATATATATAGAGACAGACATTTAAAACAACAAACCAGTTACGCAATTGTAAGTCGCTTTGGATAAAAGCGTCTGCAAAATGACTAAATAGAATGTAAATGTTATATATATATATATATATATATATATATATATATATATATATATATATATATA